TGATCATTAAAATACAATTACCCAATTACCTCCCATCATCTTAGCACTGATTGGTCAATTGCATTAACACTTCAAGTCGGGGAAGAGGGGACTGGCGCCTCTGCGGTGGGGCACCGCTGCCACCTAGAGGGCAGAGCCAGAACTGCTGCGTTTCGCAGCAACCCCCATGCTCCCGGGTTAGTAATTGGCAGAGAAACTCAGGGGCTGTGGGGGAAAAGTTGTCTTTTTTTTTTTTTCTTCCCTAAAAGCCTGTCTATTTTCATCCTGCAAACCAGGAGCTGGAGCTACTATGGGGGAGACAATGAAATCAAATTGCCACCGGAATTCAAAACTCTCACCAAGCACACCCCACGAAGCTGCTGCTCTCTGACTGCAGGGCAGGGACCTCTGCCCTCCCTGGCCCAGCAGGCAGGTCACAGCTAAGGATAACCCAGTACCCACCGTCATTAACTGGGATAGGCTGGTCAGGAGGAACTATGGGGGAGACAATGAAATCAAATTGCCACCTGAATTCAAAACTCTCACCAAGCACACCCCACAAAGCTGCTGCTCTCTGGCTGCAGGGCAGGGGCCTCTGCCCTCCCTGGCCCAGCAGGCGGGTCACAGCTAAGGATAACCCAGTACCCACTGTCATTACCTGGAATAGGCTGGTCAGGAGGACTCTAGGACAGTGATGGCGAACCTTTGGAGCTCGGCGTGTCAGCATTTTGAAAAACCCTAACTTAACTCTGGTGCCGTGCCACATATAGAAATTTTTTGATATTTGCAACCATAGTAAAACAAAGATTTATATTTTTGATATTTATTTTATATATTTAAATGCCATTTAACAAAGAAAAATCAACTAAAAAATTGAGTTCGCGTGTCAGCTCTGACACGGGTATCATAGGTTCGCCATCACTGCTCTAGGAGCAGCTGGAAGCTGCAAGGGAGGGAGCCTGCTGTCCAGCAGGATAACTCAGCGGGAGGAAGCCCTGGAAAGGCAGGCTACGAGCCTTCAGCCCATGCAGCCTGGCAGTAAATTGGCCTGTCCCGCTTGCACAAGACATCAGGGCGGTTTGACAACTCAATTGCAGCATCTCTGGCTCCTGGCTGTGGGCCTCTCCAAGTCATGGGGGTGGGAGGTGGGGGGAACATTTCAATTTCACTGGGTCTTCTTAGGTGGAGGGGCCCACAACATAATATTATGAATAATGTATGTATGCTGGTTTCTTTCTCTGCTATGTAATTGTCCTAAGGCCCTTTCTGTAAACTATGATTACTCATTTTATGTCATTCAGATATGTAACCTTGAGATATGAAAAGGATAACATGGGGAATGATAATTCAAACGATAAAATATTATGCATGTTGGGGAGGAAAGCAGATAAATATTTCTCTTTCAAGCTGTACAATTAATGACCTCTGTGACCAATTTCTTTCTGTTGTGTTTTTGTTTTGCTTGTCAGAGATCGGTATAAGTACTTGGTTTAAAAGCAGTTTCAAAGAGGCTGGAGGTTACTCTATTCAAGCACAATACGTACCATTGGAGTCTTTCTGTGACGGATCATAATGAGGAGTGGCATTCGACAAAAAGGAGAACAGTTTACTAAGGCAACATCAGAGGCATATGCAAGTTCACACCAAATGTTCTTTTTCTTCTTTCCTGTTCCCATTATAGTACAAGCATGTTTCCTCACTTAAAGATTTAAAAAAGAAAAAGCATTACATCTACACGTTCTTTGGGTATGATGCGCATGCTCAGATGTATTTCAGATGTCAGCACCTGCAAGAGGAACACTTTTCTTGACACAGAGATTTTGTATTATGGCCATTTCTCCATCTATTGGGAGAGCCTCAATGTAGTTACAAATGACATGAATATGTGAATTTGTTGAGGGGTAATGCCCTTGCTTCTGTTTTAAAAAAAAATGATGTATTGATTGATTTAAAACACTAGTGGGCAGTTGACTATAACTTTAATTTGCCTTTTGAAGCTTTTGTGTCACGTATGCTGATTACAGTTTATCAATGAATACACTATTGCCCTAACCTGTTTGGCTCAGTGGATGGAGCATTGGCCTGCAAACTGAAGGGTCCCAGGTTCGATTCCGGACAAGGGCATGTACCTTGGTTGCAGGCACATCCCCAGGAGGAGGTGTGCAGGAGGCAGCTGATCGATACTTCTCTCTCATCGATGTTTCTAACTCTCTATCCCTCTCCCTTCCTCTCTGTAAAAAATCATTAAAATATATTTTTAAAAATGAATACACTATTAAAAAGCGCATGCACTAGCTGCTCTAGCAGCTTCAGAGGCACCTACGCTCTGGTTCTGAGGTCAGCTAGAAGCCACCGGACATGAATGTTTCTTTCTAGGGGCTTTAACAGCAGGGGAAAGAGCAATGATTTGTTTTCCAACGCTGATGATTAGCTACCTAGCAGACATCTTGAAAGCCTTTCATAATGAATCAGCCTCTCACACAGAGCAGCAGGGAGGGAGCAGTGCTATTTAGCCAAAGGGAAAAAGGAAAGTCTTCCCCTTCCAGTTTGCCTTCCCATTCAGCAGCTTCCATTGTCTTCTCACCTCAGCCACCCATTCACACGGGAGGGCCTTGCACCAGTCATCCGGCTTTTATTTTCAGGCTCAGTCCGTGATTATTGGGCATCCGTCTGGCTAGGTCTTTTTGCTTGCTTCTCATTTACATCACTTTATCTAAAATGCAAGACAACCCCCCCGAGAGATTTTAAAGACAGGGCAAGTGAATCTAAAGCCAAGTATTTGGTAAATGACGTCGATAAGTTTTGAACCCAGATCTACTCCATTCCAATTCTTCCCATTTTGCTGGTCTTGAGGAACAAGGGCATACAGGTAAGACAGTCATGAGCAAGCAGGCTGCCTTTATCAGCTCTGAATCCCAGAGGTGAGTCTGTAACCCTGTGGGGGAATGGAATTGTATCATCTGTCACCGAATGCCCTTACTCAAAGAGAACTGCAGTAAGTAGTAAACAAGCTAACAGTCATACAAAAACACATGCCAGCTACGTTGTTGGTAAATAGCAACATAAATATATTGATTCCGTAGAAGTCAGGTACTGTCAACAACAACAGGGTAGAAATACTAATTGCCCAATAAGCACTGAATCGATCACATTGTCACACTTCCAATTAGTCCATGCACTTACCAAAAAGCAAGGAACAGGACAAATGCCATTGAGACAGGATGACTCTGGAGAAGAGGGGTGCAGTGTGAACCTGGCAGGTTAGTGCTATGAACGCACAGAATTCTGTTTGCTCTCCTGTCTGATTTGTAGGCATTTGGGTGGGGAAACAGAACTATCATGTCACTTCATTGTGTGCTCTACCTGGTGTAATCTTTAGCAAACTGCAGAGGACAGCATGTTGGAACCACAAATGCAAAAATAGCAAAAAAAGAATGAATTTAGCAACTTGGCTTAAAACTAGAGAAAATAGGGATGTGTCTATTGTGTTCAGTCATTTTATTGAACAGGGCATCGGCTACTATATTCAAGCACAAGACATACCTAAGATTTGAGTCTTTATGTTACAGACTCTTTTCATTTTCAATACTGTTAACGAAAAACCAGACTACCCTGTGGGATAATCTTACCAAGCTTGCCTCTGCTGTCACACATAATGAAGGATGCAAATTAACTTCTTTGGAACAACTTTGGAAACTACTTAAATGATAGAACACTGTATTTAGTGGAACTCACTACATGCCTTATGCTAGATAATAATTCAAGAATGCTGCATTTCAGGGATAGAAGATATCCTGATAGGAATCTATTTTTTGTTCCTTGAAATATAGACAAAGATACTAAAGTCAAGTAGATTTGCAAATTTTGGTGTGTTTTTTTAAATATCTCCTCTACAGTGAC